AAAGGAGGAGGCTGCAATGCTTGGTAAGAAATGTATGCATTATCCTGCCCATGCAATTGTAACCCCTCTGTACAGTATGTTCACAAAAAAAAATTAAATTAAATTAAAAAAAAAAGAAAAGCCCAAGGAAGGAATCAAGACCGTGAACAAGGATCATATTAATTTGAAGGTGGTGGGACAGGATGGTTCTGTGGTACAGTTTAAGATTAAGAGGCACACACCACTTAGTAAACCAATGAAAGTCTATTGTGAACGACAGGGTTTGTCAGTGAGGCAGATCAGATTCCGATTTGATGGGCAGCCAATCAATGAAGCAGACACACCTGCACAGGTGGAAATGGAGGATGGAGATACAATTGATGTGTTCCAGCAGCAGACAGGAGGTGTCTACTAAAAAAGGGAAGCTGCTACTTTGCTCCAGAACTTTGTTCTTATAGACCAAGAATACATTCTTAATTAGAAAACTGCAATTTGGTTCCACCACATCCTGACTACTACAGTATAGTTTTCTCTATTCTTTCATTTTCCCTTCCCTATTCCTTTATTGTACATAAAGTAACTGGTGTATGTGCACAAGCATATTGCTTGTCTTTTTTTTTCTTTTAAACTAAATGGCCAATGGTATATTTTGATTGGCATCAAATGGAGATGGGATGGGGAAAATACTGGTTCTGTGAAGATATCCCCCTTCTCCATTCATGGCATGCTCATTCAGCTTTTATCTTTATATTTCAGTAAGTTATTTTGCTCTCACTGTTTTAAAAAAAGAAAAGAAAAAAACAACAAAAATCCTTGCATACCTTGTTTGATTGGAGAATTTTAATGTTTTCATTTATCAAGGACATAAAACCAAGGAAAATTTTATAACTTTTTTGTTGTACATAGCTGTTAATGTAGAGCAATCTGTCTTTAAGTAGGGGTAAATTACTCTAAAAAAAGGAATCCTAGATAGTTTTCCCCTCAAGTCAAGTGTCTTGTTGTTTAAATAAACTTCTTGTTTAAAAAGAAAGAAAAATATTATCTTACATAGGATAATTATTAAAGTTCACAAAATAATTGATCATTTATACCTCAAATCTTGAGCCATTAAAAAGTAAGAAAAAGTTTATAGTAGTTTTTTTCTTCTAGAAAAGAAGAAGTCGAGTTTACATATATACCTGGAAATGGCTATGTTCTTAACACATAAGTATGTCCAAGAATGGTCAAATCATATTCGTGTACTTAAGAGATTTCAAGCACTAGTTAATCACTTGCAATTGACAATTAAGTGTCCAAAAAGTAGAGGTAAAAGCTGTGCAGAGAAAATCTTTTTGTCTAAGTCAATATTAATCTTTCCAATGAGATGTACAAAACACTATGTTGAAAAGGAACTTTACAACTTTGGTGAGGAGGTGGGAGGGAAGGGATGGTAGGGGGAAAACAAAGGAGAAGCAACAATGCTTAATATGAAATGTACTCATTATTTTGCTCATGTAACTGAAACCCCTCTGTACAGCATTTTAACAATTAAAAATGTACAAAAACATTAATCTTTCATATATTCTGATGATGTTTTGAGAAATGAAGATTTATATTGTAAAAGAAACTAAAGAACAAAAGTTGTCTGTATTTGCAGGCTATAAACTACTAAATTTCAGGCTATGTTAGGAGGTAAATATTTTTCTGTTTTGTGAAGTTACAGTTCTAGTAACTATTTTTCCTAGAAACTGTTTAATTTCTATTACTAATTTGATTTTTTTAATGTCATTGTGAAGGTGATGTACAAAGGGGCTACATTGTGTGCGTCAGGTAACTAGAGTATTTCCTTTTGAACGCTCTCACCTACTTGCATGTTCTATCCCAGTTTGTCCCCTCCTGACATCCCTCCCCTCAAAGTTGTATAGTTCATTTACAATATAGTGTCTAGTGGGTTTCACTGCTGATTAGTTCACCCTTTTTCCCACCATTTCTGTGCTTCCCTCTTCTCTCCCCCAAATCAGATAAACTTATATACAAGACAAAGGGCACAGAAATTTAAAAAAACAGAAGGAATAAACCAAAGAATAAAGGAAAGAAGGGGGGGAAGGAACTGCAAACTGTTTAATAAAAAAAACCCTCTTAATTGTTGGAGTTCATTTTGATAAGCATCATTTTATATGATATTGTGCACATAGCTATTGAGCCCTTAAATCCTCTCCTAAGAATACCCTCCTTTGTTCTCACCATGTGTAGATTGCTGTTTAATTAATCCTGTCCAGACGTAATTATTTCAACTTTTTAATAGTAGACTTTCTCTGTCACTCAAGTACGTAAATATGTTGCCAATCTTCTATTTCGGGTTGACAGATATTTTTTCTTCTACATAATAGGTAAATGTTGTGCCTAGCAGCTCAAATCTCTATTAGCATGCTATGTAAATTCCCTAATTTCAGAAAGGAGGCAGAGCAGCTGGAATAGCTGGATCCAGAGACTTAAATGAGCTCAAATCTTCCTCCCTGCATTGAATCATACCTTTGCCTTTTTATGTCAGGCCACTTAGCTGTAGTTAATTTTGTTGTCTATAAAAACTATTTTTTAAAGCATTACAAAGCCAAACATCCCTGAGAAACTGATAGGAAAAAGAATACTGTAGGGAAAACCCATCATGTGTATTTAAAATACGTATTTCTATTTCGTGGTGACAGAACTATAAAACAATCTTTTATATTCTTCCATTTCCCTTTTAAAAAATCACTTCAGTTATATATTGTCTCTCTTCTTATTGCCATCATTACTGAAAAATCAGCCTTACATTTTAGTTGAGTTAGATCTACTACATAAACACAAGGTGTACTTAAAATGTTGCCTGTGTTTTGGCTCATTTTAATCTGTAATATTTTGTTGTCTCTTAGCACTTGCTAGTATTAGGGGGGAAGGTCTGAAGGAAGTTGGGAAGTGCATTTTGTATTAATTTCAGTGTTATTTCTAAAGAAATAAAATTCATTTTGTGGTTAATTTAAATACAATCTCCCTTATTTATAGAAGCTTAAATGAAAGTCCAGACAGCAGAATGATTTCTGAGGCTTAGTTGCAAAGAAAACAAAAGTCAAAGAAATTTTTTTCTTCCATAGTCAAAGAAGCCGTTCTCATGCAGGGACTCTTTCATTACTGCTATCTTTTAGTTTCTAAGGGGGTTTCTGTGAATAAAAGAAAATAAAAATCCCCCATGCACTTAGACAGAATTACAAATTAATGTTCTCTATTCCTGTTTATGTTAAGAGTTCCAAGAATGACTAGCATGTGAGTGCAATGATGGTCTTTTGGCAGTACCAACATAAAAGGCTACTCAAATATGTTGTTTAATTGTATATTTTCCAGTGCTAGGCAACTCTCCAGACCTTATCGTAAACACTGTATGAGGTCTGTAAGTTCAGTAAATAATGGAGTTCACCCTTTATATAGTTAACTCCAAGCGACAGTTGACTTCTCTTTAAGGTATTTTCTATTTGTTTGCTATGGTTAACACAGATTGCTTTGTTACATAAAACAAGTTGGCATTTGGAAACTCAGCCCAATGTTATGTTCTAAGGGTGTTGTGTGTTTCCCCGCAGTATACAACAATCTGTTTCAGGGCCAGAGAAAAAGGTAACCCACTAAACATTCTTGTGTTAAGGTTAAAAAGAGAAATAGAATCAAATAGAAATATATAATTAATAGTTGTACTGAACAGGTATTCAGTACACTGGCTATTGTATTGTAGCAATAGATCTTGTTAATTTGATGTGATTTATTATTATTTTAGGCCAAAAGTCATGTTTCTGTACACTCTGGAAGTAGATGCTAATTTGTCAGCTTTTGTTGAAGAAGGAAGGGAAGGCAGAAAACCATAGCATAAGAGGTCGTACATTTCTACCCTTGAGTTTTTAGAAGAATGAGGCTCATTTACTGTTCAAAGGACGTTGTTTATACATTCCAGACTTCCATCTTATAATTGCTCCAGGATTTGTAAAAAGGAAATCTCAGCAGGGCGGCAAAATTATTCAAAGCAATAGCTGCACATAATTGGTATAAAATACCAGAACAGGCTGCTCTGAAAACTCTTTTGCTCAGCAACACACATTTCCACCCCCTCAACTCCTTCTGTAGTCAAGTAAAGTTTGACTGCTTCTCTTCCAGTGCTTGAGCCTTTTCTTCCTTTACTGAGGTAACAAAAATTTTAAAGATCTTATGAAGAATTAGTAATACAATTTATGTGGATAAAAAATAGAGGTCCACTGGGGTGTATTACTATTTACCTGGCTGCCATGGCAATAAGTAAACCAAATTCATGTTGTAAAGAAAGGTAGTTTTAGCTTTTATATTTTTATAAAACATTGAAAGTTAATTATACATTTTAACACACAGGAAAGTGAATTAAAATTTTTCATTGTTGTCTTAGGATCAAACGAATGAAAGATAGCTTAAGTCTAGGTATTATTAAACAAACTTGAAAAATAAATTAAAGAAAGGTAAGTGATATCATCCTATACAAGCGCGGTCTTTCTTCTTTCCCGCTTATCATTAGACTTCAGTATTACCTGAGCTTCTGACATCATTCTTTCAGAAGAGAATCAAGAAGCAAAAGGATAGCATCTTTTTATTTTAAGTGGCTGATATTTTCATTTTAAAAGTTATTTTCAGTATTTTTGTGTAAGTTGATGAACAATAGCTTCACTAATTCAATTCTACTTTAAAATATCATTTGGTAGGGTTTTAACAGATGTTTCTTGACTGATACAAAGAAAAACTCAGGAAATTTTGTGGCAGTTCTCTTGGAAAGAGGAAAACAAAACAAAAATCTCCAGGAAACCAGAAACATCACCTTATAATACTTAGGATGTGATGGCTGCACAAGGAGAATAGGGTTAATGACACTGGACTGTTATACAGATGGTACATCAAAAGCCAAGGTTATTACTATTGTTGTTGTTGCTGTTGTTACTAAATCTAGAACCCAATCCTTTCAAAAAGCAAGATCTCAGATGTAATTCTTACATTCCATGAAGGCAGATCTAATGAAGCCTGAAGAAAATCACCAGGAACAAATATCCATAAGCTTACTGGTGCTGCAGGTATTGTGATACTTATGACATGATAATGTTTCTTCTACAGTAAATATGAGCTTCAAGGGACTGTTCCCCAGATTCTTGACTTAGGATAAAGCAGGCTTCTGAAGACAAAGGAAAAGTAAGACAAAATATCATCCAAAGGGGAAATGTAATACGGCTTCTATAACATATAAATCAAAGAAAACAGATGACAAAAGAGGTCTCAAATGTGACAATCTTGACGAAATGTGTAATATACATTTAATATGTAATCAGTTATAGTTCCTGTGGCTGGGTAAGTCAAAAAGTACTTATGTTTGTTTGTTTTTTTTTGTCAGTCATGGGGCTTGAACTCTGCGCTCTTCAACTCAAGGTAAGCACTCTACTGCTTGAGCCACAGCACGACTTCTTGTTTTCTAGTGGTTAATTGGAGATAAGAGTCTCTGGACTTTCCTGCCCAGGCTGGCTTTGAACCATGATCCTCAGATCTCAGTCTCCTCAGCAGCTAGGATTACAGGTGTGAGCTACCAGCGCCTGGCCTTATGATTATTTTTTACACCAATGACTTATACTTAGGGGCAGCTATTTTAGTAAGAATAAAATATTCAGAAAAATTATAATAGAAATGCATATCC